ACACTCCTCTATTCCAGGAAACTCTCTTATTAAAGTCAGAGTGTGTTTCAGAACATCAAAGATCTGATGCCATGACTGGTCACGTGTCTCAAAGAAATGTAAAGGAAAACGGCTGGAATTAGTCACATCGTGTGTCGTATAGCTAATGTAACGTTTGTTGTTTTACCGTTCCATGAGCTTAAAGTCAAAATGAAGCAAAATGTCCACTGTAAAAAAAAAATCCATTAAATTTACGGTAAAAAAAGCGGCTGCCAAATTTAGCCTACTGTAAAAAAAATACAGTAGCAACATTTTAGGCTAAAAAAAAGGCTTTACCGTAAAAAAACACACATTTCATTAATGCTAATTTACCGATGTTGTAATATAATGACAAATACCAATCACAGTGGTGATGAGAGTCACATGAGAAAACTAAACTCATCTCAAGCAGCTTTTGCACTTAAAGCTAGTTGAAATGAAGAAGCTGCAGTGTCATTCACACAAACACTAAACACAATCATGGTAACACACATAATTTTTTTCCGCAAAAATGAAATAAACATTAATTTAACAACATTAAATGTAACATAAAACCCAAATATACAGTATCTGATTAGAAAAAAAAACTAAGAAATAGCGAAGAAACAGTTATTTCAGCATAATACGTCAAATGTGAAATGTCACGAAGGGAATTGTGGGAATGTCAGTTCACGTTTTTTTCACTGTAAATCATACATGACTTGTTCTTTTTCACTTCCAAAAACTTATATTTTATTGTAAAATTACATTAAATGTACACAATTAGATCTTTCACAGTTCAAAACACTTTCTGTTAACCAATTAACAGTTTTCCACTGTAGCATTTTTACAGTCTGCTACCGTTAAAATCATGATAATTTTTTTATTTATTTGTCCTAAATGCTTCATTTCTAAATATATAGGCATTGTTGATTATTATGGTTAGTGTTCAGGGCCCCGTTGTTTTGTGTGTTGGGTTAGACTGTTCGGTTCTCATCTTGGAGTTGTTGTCATGGTAACAAATCCGTGAGCTCCAGAGGAGGTTTGTTTAAAGTCGACAGGATTAGATTGTGGCTTTATCAGTATAGGTGATACTGGAAGTTTGTCCCAGATACATTTAAGAGAACAATTTGTTAACAAGGACAGTAATCATTTAAAAATATAAAGCATCTGTAAATGACATCACATCAAGCTGTATATTGACATTTCTACATACAGAGTTTGTGTAGGCCTAATGATCAATGTCATCAAGTGAAATTGACCATGTTTTTTGGTACTCTTTGGTACCCCATTTGTGCGCCCATGGGTGTGCTGGTCTGAAAACCAGGTGTGTTCAGGCGCATTGCCATGCTGTTTAGACCATATGCTTAGATTGTTAAAATGCACCCGTATGACTCAAAGAGTGGAAAATTGGTATGAATCTTCTTTAGTGGACTTTCTAACATATCCTCTAATATATGTTTAAAAAAAAACATGGCCGCCAGCAGCCAATCCACTTTTAGAAGCTAATATGGCTATGCTAATAAATATAAAATCTGTACATGTTGTGAAAATGAATATGTGTACCAAATTTTTGTGAAAATCAGCCACAAAGTGGTGCTATTATAAGCAACATTACATTTTAACGAATAACTCCTTAACCGTGTGTGGAAGAATGCTTGTTTTAAACTACAATATATATATATTTTAGTTGTTTTCCACCTGAGATGAATGCTATCCACTAGAGGGAGCCACATGATAAGGAATCTTTTTTTTTCAATATGTTTCCATCCCTTTGAATGGAAATAAATGGTTAATCTAGTTAATTTGCATAACTATTGTGTACTGAGAGTACAGTTTAATTTAATTAGTAAATGCTTCATTTATCCTTCTCTCGCGTCATGTAACAAATCCTTCCCTCATGGGTCAAAATGACCTGAAGCCCTAAAATTACAATTATTATTTTTTTTGTCCAGAAAGCTTATTTTATTTCATTTTGATAATATTTTTTCTTTGAATGCATTTTTTTTTTTTTGGAGATTTCATTTTTATTTGATTCGATTTATCTTTTAATTACTAGATTTAATCAGTAAGTAATCAATAAGTAGTAATTTAGTCATTTAAGCGCATTCCTTACATACTTTCACAAACTTAAATTAAAAATATCTCACAATTTCATGCATAAAACTTTTAATCCAGCTCAACTCATTTTACATTGAGTGTCTTCGCCGACCTCTTGTGGAATTTCTTTAATATAACATAATATTTCAACGCGTTCTCATCCCAAAGCGCCATATAGGACGCTTTTGCAAAAGCGTAAATATCCAACGCACATGGCACCCTTTAACGTCTAATGAGACGCTTTGGTTAATGGTTAAGTTTAGGTATGGTGTAGGGTAAGGGTTAGACCACTAGGGGGCGCCTTCTGCCCAAATATATCTGCGTCTCATTTGACGTTAAAGGGTGCCATGTGCGTTGGATATTTACGCTTTTGCAAAAGCGTCCTATATGGCGCTTTGGGATGAGAACGGGCTCGATATTTCATGACTCTGGCCAAGAGAGGGCCTCATAGCTCTATATGGAACAAATGAGCTGTTCCGCAGGGTCCTAAAGTCAGAAATTTTCAGTATGCATTCAGATACACATGTAGACATTATAAAAAAAGTAAACGTTTTAGCATTTTTTATTTTATTTTAAATTTTTAGCATTTTGTTTCTATGTGTACTGAAGCATTCATCCCACGAGGGAATGATTTGTTACTTTTTAAAATTTGACCACAAAACTCCTAGAACCCATTTTTTTTTGTGGTTCTGATGAACACTCAATTTTTCCAAAAGTCCGGGTCAGAATGACTCGATGGAAGAATGAGGGTTGACTTTAATACACACCAATAAAACACATTTTTCAATTTACCAAATATGATATATTGCTGTTCGCTTAAAATAAAGAACCAATTTTGTGTCTTTATCCATCTACTATATATTATAAAGCATCTATAAAAACACTTCTTTACTGTGTACTTCTTATAATAAAACAAACACGTATGTATTAAACGGCAAGAATAAGGCTAGAATGCAACACATATAGAAACAAAAGGGTTTTAGCAGCAGATGATGTCTTCACATTGTCCTGTGACATTCTATACGTGTGAATGTTAAATACACACGAGTCCACACATATTATGATCACATGACACGCCTTACAGCTTTTCATACAGGGGTATTTTTTTAACTCCTCTTTAAATCTCACGGTAAAGAGGGATTGATTTCCTTTAAAAGTCAGTTGCCCTTTTGACACATGCGTTGCTGTAACCCTTTCCATTCAAGATGGACTTTGCAATAAAAACCACATCGTAAGCTGCATTTTAATGATCCACGTGGGCCATTGGTGCTTCGACCCCTGATGATTGACTTTTATGACCATATTAAAACACACCACGTGACACCACGTGAAATATTTGTCACAACCATTTAAAACGAAAGCAAAACAATGATTAAAAGATCCTCTTTTCAAAATGCTTTTTGACTAGTTCCTTCACAAGCACACACATCAAGAGGGTTTCCAGTCGGTTGTAAGTAAACGCACCGAACTGCCCTTTCTGCATCACATTAACTTCCACATCACATTCCTCCTGTCCTGAGAGCTGATTGGCTCTCGTCCCTTCTGTCTGGATGCATATCCCACAGCCGCAACTCCTGATTGGACGGCAGCGGCAGAGCAGCGCGTGAGCACGGTGTAAAGCTCCAATGGCGTTGTGACTTGTGTTTAGAGGACCGAAGGGGGCGGAGGACGTACCACTGGGATGGTGGATGGGGGTTGGGATGAGGACAGGGTGGAGTAAAACCCAAACAGGATCAAAATGATCAGCTGTTAAATGCAAAACATAGTAGGCTAGTATGTGTGCTCATTCTATAACTTTTGCTGTAAATGAGTAACAACATTCTTACATGGTCAGAGTTTTGCTTCATTTATGTTATTAGAGCAGCCGAACCAAACTGTTCATTGAAGCAAACAGTAGATTTATTTTTAGACGCCAGATTTCATGATGTTAGCAACAGAAATATTTGGTGATAAAGGGATACGTGAGGTAATGCAGCACTGTTACTGACTGCTAATAAAAGCAGAACAGGACCATATTTGCATTTTAATAGCTGGAGGGATTTGCGTTCATACAGGCGATGTGGGGGTTATACAGAGGTCTGTGAGGGTCTATGAGGGGGGTTGTGTCTATACACCCCCCCCCCCCAATCATTCATACACATCACACTTAATCATAATACACACTCTCTTTGGTCTCCTTTATAATCAAATCAGATCATTTTAATTCAGCCACTGTGTTTGATCATTTATTGTCATAACACATACTACTAAAGCAGAATCGAATAAACTTTGCGTTGTGGCTTTGATTATATATGAGGATTTCAGCATGGCAGTACTTTAGCAAAATGCCTGAATTTTAAGATTAAGTCTAGAAGTTTTCAAACTTTTTTGTTTTATTTTTAAAATGAAAATAGTATTTAGCTAAGAAAAAGGCAATTCGATGCCTTTGTTTTCGTTGTCTCCACTGAATAAAATAACATTAAAAAAACACATTTTATACATTTTGAACAATTTAAAAAAAAGTTTTTTCACTAAAATGTTTCTTTAAAGGTTCTTTACACACAGTAACAGTTTAATTTAGAACCTCACCTCCTGAAGAACCCTTTATATATGCTGAAATGTTTTGTGTGTTATTCCCGCCTTTTTGTTTTTCGAATCTGTAACTGTCAAAGACTGATTTCTGGAGCTCAGTTTTATAACTTCACAGACAGACAATATACTCTCAACAGGTAAATGATTTCTCTCTTAAAATGTGTAAAAAATAATAATAATAACTTTAAAATGTTTAATAATTTCCTAACAATCATGTCTTTTTCTCTTTTTAGTTGAACAGAACATGTAAGTGTGAGCAGCTCTGTTCGGTTAAGAATACTAATCTTCTCTTCCCCACAAAGTAATTAACAGAGATGTAAAATTTGATCCATATTGTTTGATTTTTATGCCTACAGTTCTGCTGGTGCTGTCGGTTTTTTGTCGAGAGCTGCGGGAGCGCGCATGACTCCATGACTGAGGGAGCGCGTGCACGCGACAGAGGAAGGGAGAGTTCTTCTTTCACTGCTCCATCCGGGAACTCTCCCGAATTAGCATTGACAACCGAAGCGCAACTTTTTCCCCAGGCAAAGTGAAATCACGCCGCGCACTCGGACAAAATATAGTTCCACATTTTTCAACTCAAAGACTTGGAAATAAAGCCATACGATACGGATAGGCCGTTCGGGCGTCTGCCGTGTGGATTACGGAGTGAATTGACGTGACTGCTGGAACCTTTAGCTCGCTTTCTGAGCACTTTTGTTTATACTGGCGTAAAGTGGGTGATGAGTCTTGCGGCCAGTAAAGAAGCGAGAACTTGCTGTGCAGCCCGAGTAGTTCTTGCGATTGTTATTGTTGCTTTTAAAATATTTGTATTACGCCACAAATAACGCGGATCGCGTCGAAAGTGGAGGAAAAGTGCTTCTGAAGTCGGAATATGGAGCTACAAGGCCTTCAAGAAGCACTCAAAGTAGAAGTCCAATGTCATCAGGTAAATAAAAATGGCATTTTGTTCAAGCTTTCCTGGGATTCTTACGTGAATAAAACGCTATAAGAACGGACATCAGCCGTGTTCGAACGCTTTAATTCGGTTGGAATTCGGAGCCTTTTAGAGTCATACAACGGTAACATTCTTTCGCCTTTATGACGCCATAATCACTTTGAGCGCATTTTGTTAAAACGTTCTTTGATGCACTTTCACGCGTGCGGCGGGTTTTTAGCGATTTGCACTAATAATGCGGCGGTTTTGTGTAGCGATCGGGACGAGACTTGAATATTTATGAGGTTCAAACGGACTCGCTGCTCGCCGCTTTGTTCCTCCCTCATATCCTAACTTGAAACACTTTCAACGAAACGCATTTTCGTTGTTTTACTTCCTTTAGAAACTAGTTGCACTGATGAAGCGGGACCCGCAGGTAATTCATTTTATTTGAAGCGTTGAAGAATGGGGCATTTACATTGGGGCGAGAAACTTTATCGGCATCACTAGTTCTCAACGCTTTGTCCTTTACGTGACTTTGCCAAAAACACAAGGGGGGTTTGGGAAGTTCTGAAAACATCTAGGTTGTTTTCGGGGAAGAATCGTGTTGATTATATGTGTTTGGTGAGCTCAAGAAACAACTACATTAAAGGCATAGCTGCCCTAAGTGGAAAAACAAGTAATAATTGATTTATTAGGGATTATATTTGGCCTCATGAATGCATTAAGTGACATTTTAGAAACATATCCTCAATTCATACAGGGAAAAAAACACAAAAATACTATAAATTAGCTGGGTTCAGTGAAATCACAATAAACAACATCGTCTTGGTTCTTAAGTAAATTGTAGCGTCCATTTTTAGTAGGTCGACATGTTTCTAGAGAGTTTGTGAAGGAAAGTTGCTCACTTCCTCGGCCATGTTGCATTAAAACATCGCTGTTCAGTGTGTACATAACCTCAACGTACTTGTTCGATACTTTATCGACAGTCTTCCCGGTGGGTTATATTTCGTGGTCACATGACGACGTGGTAGAATTTGATTCGATCTCTGCAGTTCACTTTCACTTTTTTTTAATAATCGCGACTCGAAAAGCAAGGTCATCAATACTATAGCGTTCCGATAGCAATTATTCATGTGTGTTCACGAGTAATTCGTCTGCTTGGCCTTGGTTTGTTGGCATGTTATACACAAGCTCTCAATCCTTCACTGAATCCGTCTGTCTGTCAGAATGACTGGATTTCGAGCCGGTTCGGTTGGGACTTTCAGTTCGTAACGCAGTTTCAGCACCTCGGACAGCGGCGCGCGCCTGCATTTCAACGTGTTTTAAATGTCAAATGTCGCCACTGTGTGAAATGTTTGTTGTGAGGCTTTTTTTTTTTTTTTTTGGTGTACCCCAGTTTGATAGTGGAAGCTTCCATTTTGTGCTGAAGGGGTGTTGGTTTCTTCCTAACATGGAGCAAAAGTCTGCAGAGTTTCTGGCTGGGGGGAGGGCTCATTCATGGCCATTCTGGAGAGGGGGAAGGGAGGAGAAAACACTAGTCAGCATCACACAAGACACTACACACAAGCCTCTGTAGGCCTTATAACACTCCTTATGAGGTTCTCCTAATTAATAGCGTCTATCACAGTTCAAATGCTTAACAATACTAACTTATTCATGCTGAAGAGTCAAATAATGCTGTACATACCAGAGGAAAAGCATTCAAATACATGACATAATGAGCTACAAGTATGATGTATTTGTTATTGTGAAATTATATCAAAGGATATACAGTATTATAAAGCACTATGATGTCTCTAATGCAATAATCATACCCATATTTCACATTCAGAGATCTAATTCCACAAAGTAAGGTATCATAATTCACCGCTAAATCTAGACCTTTTAAAACATAAAACGGCGCTTTCATAACCCCAACTAAGGCTGTGACTTTGCAGTACAATTTCTAATTTATTCAACAGTTATTTTCCCCTGTTTACTATTAAAGTCTTGAAGAAGTGAATTGTAAATGTATTGCATGTAAAAATCCAGAATGCTGCAAAGATAACCACCACGTTTATAAGCGAAATCTTAAGTGTTTTGTCAATATTAAAGCTTATTTAGGCTAAATGTTGTATTCGTGTGTGTCTAGTCTAACTAGAAATATGTAACTGAACATGATGGGTTTTTTTGCACTACTGACCCATCCTCTTAATATTTCACCCGAACTTTCATTTGAAGGAGGCTTGTAAATGAATGCAGATGATGGAAGCAAAGCCTCCAGTATTTATTAGCTGAGAACATCATAATTGTGTGAAGTATCTTGTGTTCCCCCGCAGGGCAAACATCTTTCATCCATATATAAATATCTGTCTTAGCTTGTGAGTTTTTAACACATATATTGTGCGAGAGGGTTTTGTATTGTTGTCGTCTTGCTAGTTGTTGCATCACTGATCCAGAAACACTCATAAACTTGCTGTAAGTCTTGAGCTTTGATTTGCTCAATTTTTTGCTCTCTCTCAAGGCTCACAAATCCGTGCCAGACAGATCCCTGTGTGTGTGCCCCCTCATGAATTTGTGTGTTTTGCAAAAGGATAAGGTTTTGATTCCTACAAAAATCTCCCTGTTTTGTTAGTTTGCAGTAAAGCATTTGCAATGTCTGTTTATTCAGATTCATAGAGATGTGACCCACATTTCCATGTCATGAATGAATAGTTCACCCAAAAATCTCCTTTTATAGAGACAGAAGAAGTACATACAGGTTGAATAAGTGTGATGCATTAGCACTTGTATTTCTTAGCTTGAAAGCAGTTCAGCGTTGTGTCCAGAGTGATTTATGTAGCACAGTCCCACAGACTGACAGCAGCTTTAATGTGCATATGTGAAAGCGTTTGCCTGGAACGATGCGTTGATGTAATCGATTACGTAAATAACTCGATTCATGTTGAATGCGTCCAATCGCTGTGATGTTCATGGTCATCCAATGATGGCGGCTCTGACTCTTGGGCATGTTGATATTTTGTGCTTGAATGGATAGTTCACCCAAAAATGAAAATTAGTCCATGATTTACTCGCCCTCAAAGACCCTTAAGTCATGCTAGGTGCATGACATTCTTTTTTCAGATGAATACAATCTGAGTTATATTAAAAAATGTCCTGGCTCTTCCAAGCTTTATAATGGCAGTGAATGGCTGTTTCTGTTTTGTCCATACGTCCATAAAAGTGCATCTATCCATCATAAAAGTGCGTCTATTCATCATAAAAGTGCATCTGTCCATCTTGAAAGTGCATCTATCCATCATTCATACGTGTATCTATTCATCATAAAAGTGCATCCCTCCATCATAAAAGTGCATCTATCCATCATAAAAGTTCATCCCTCCATCATAGTCAAGTCAAGTCAAGTCACATTTATTTATATAGCGCTTTTCACAATACAGATTGTATCAAAGCAGCTTCACAGTGATAACATGTAAGTAGCACAACACAGATCAACAACATTGCTAAACACTAAATAAATAACCCCAACTGAGCAAGCTCAAAGCAAGCCAAAAGCAAGGCGACAGTGGCAAGGAACCAAAACTCCATCAGATTGGATGGAGAAAAAACCTTGGGAGAACCCAGGCTCAGTCGGGGGCCAGTTCTCCTCTGGCTTACATTCATATTGTTTAAATATAAATATTAAATATAAATATTGTTTATGAATCAAACGGCGCCATAACATATCGCAGGCGTTGAGTCGTCTCATCACAGGCGTTGAGTCGTCTCATCACAGGCGTTGGGGCATCCGAAATCCCCGTGAGAGGCTGGACACAAAACTGGACCTGACGAACGCCATTTTTCTCGGGACAAGCGTCCCGAGATAACAGCAGAAAGGCAGATGGGAAATAATTAGCATAGCTGATGTTCATAATAATTTCCGTTATAACTCACAAACTCTCCGTAACCCGAACTCTCCGCAACCCAACCATACGCGCCGACCCGTTTGTCTAAAAGGCTGTCGAGCCCCACTGGTGCGTTAAGCAGTTTCAGTGGCAAACGGTTCCGTATGGCATAACAGAGGACTAGAAGGTAAGCATTATGTGAATGCTTGACTAAAGAGATGCGTCTTTAATCTAGTTTTGAACTGTGTCAGCGAGTCAGAGGCTCGGACCGTATCGGGAAGGCCATTCCAGAGTTTTGGAGCTAAATGCGAGAACGCCCTCCCTCCTTTACTGGACTTCGATATCCTAGGAATGACCAGAAGCCTTGAATTTAGTGATCTTAAGGAACGCGGTGGATTGTAGGGCGAAAGAAGGTCCGTTAAGTACATAGGTGCTAAACCATTTAGGGCTTTATAGGTCAGTAGTAGTATTTTGTAGTTGATGCGGAACTTAATAGGTAACCAGTGTAGAGATGATAAAATCGGTGTTATATGATCATATTTTCTTGACCTAGTAAGAACTCTAGCAGCTGCATTTTGTACTAACTGTAGCTTGTTTATTGAGGATGCAGGACAACCAGCTAATAAAGCATTACAGTAATCTAGTCTCGAGGTCATGAATGCGTGAACTAATTTTTCTGCATCAGAAATAGATAGCATGTTACGTAGCTTAGCAATGTTTCTAAGGTGGAAAAAGGCTGTTCTTGTAACATATGAAATATGATCTTCGAACGACAAGTTGCGGTCTAGTATAACACCCAGGTCTTTTACTGTTGTGGATAAAGTAACAGGACATCCGTCTATATTAAAGTTGTACTGTAAGAGGTTTTGTGAGTAGTTTTTTGGACCAATAAGTAATACCTCCGTTTTATCTGAATTTAATAGCAGGAAATTACGCGTCATCCAGCATTTTATATCTTTGAGACACTCTGTCATTTTAGATGAGTTAGTGTTTTCATCTGGTCGTGATGAAATATATAATTGAGTGTCGTCAGCGTAACAGTGGAAATTAATTCCATGTTTTCTTATAATATTACCAAGTGGCAGCATATATATTGAGAATAGCAGAGGGCCTAAAACTGATCCTTGCGGTACTCCATAGTCTACT